CCCCTTAAGGGCGCGAAAAAAAAAGGGTCCCCCCCCCCCCCCCCCCCCCCCCGCAGCCCAGTTTTTGAGGGAAGAGGGGGTGGGTTGGGGTATGAAATTGCAGGGACTGGAACAACGCGGAATGTTGCGATTGGAGGGCGTCATTGGTGCGGCGGTGTTTCATGAACGTCGGAATGCGGCGGGGCTCTTCAGGCATTCATGGCACGGGGCCCCCTCAATTATTCCTCTTCTTTCATGAGTGACTGTTTGTTCCCCGGTACGCCTTGAACCAACGCTTCATCTCTCGTCCGTGTGGTGCCCGTATCTTGGGGGGGGGGGGATACTTTCCAGGGTATCTGGTGACGCTGCCTCTTCCGCCCTCCGAAGGCGTGTCTCCCGGGGGGCGAATGCTCCCCCCCGTACCCTTGGTGATGGAAGCACTGGGGAACGTTGCGGGCTCCTCGACGGCAGGAGCGGCTCCGTCGATAGGTCGGTCTCGGGGTGTCTCGTGTGGTGTATAATTCGTGAGTTGGTGGCAAATAGTGATGACAAAGTTGGCAGTGGGGGCAAGGGTCGGCAGCAGTGATGAGGGTTGGAGGGGTGTGCCGGAAAAGTGTTTTTGTTCAAAGGCGTAAGAAGCAGAGCGTTGCCACCCACCCGTCACGACACGGCGGTCTGCGTATCTTGTGTCTTAGACGGCCTCGCTGCTTACATCATGACTTGCCCCGACTCTCGCCCCTGCCTCCCTCCTCCTGCTGCTGCTGCTTGTCGCGAGGACAACGCGGTGGCATTGGTCAAACTGCTCAACGAATCGCCGATGCATGATATTCTGTGTACATGATATTGCCGCCCCCCTTCCCGCAATGCGGGAGGATGATGATCAGCTCTCTGGTTATCCTTGTAAAACGTAGCCTCGGCCGGCATATCGCTGCTGCGTCCCTTCGTTGTAGGCATTCGAAGTTAACGGTCTAACGACTACGGCATGCGTTTACATGAGTACACTCCCCCTTTTAATGTCGGACAACTTAGGGCATGCAAAACCTGAGTACCTCCCCCCCCCCCCCCCCCCGTCCTCCTTTTCCTCTCTGTCCCCTATCTCCCAATTTGAAACCCCCCAAGGGAAATTTCCCAAGGGAAACCCCCGGGGGGAAATCTCCCAAAACCCCCGGTTAACGTCCGCCCCGGAAAGGAAAATCCCGTGGAACCACCCCATGAAGGGAAAAACCCCCCCTGAACAAGGGCCCCCCCCCCCCTCCAAGCAGGGGGAACAAAACTTTTTTCCCCCCAACCCTTTTAAAAACAAGGGCTCGTTTAAGAACAATAAGGGGCCCCCCCCGGGGAAATCCCGCCGGGAAGGGTTTTTGGGAACGGGGCCCGTTTGGAATGGGTTTTTTGTTTTTTTTTTTTGGGGGAGGGAAATTTGGGTGAAGGCGGGGGGGGGGGTTTTTTTTTTAATAATAATAACATCCACCGCGCTTAACGGGTGAATAATGAAAAA